CGTTGTTTTCTCCTCCAGACTATTCATCCAGTCTATCTTATCTAGATAGATCTGTAGAGATAATAATATGCACCAAAAATCAAGCCAAGCAAGATAGGCGATGAGTGAGAACACAGCCATGACAACAAAAAAGGAAACCAATTACCCATAGAAGAATAAATTAATTAAAAGAAAAAAATTTTAAAGAAAGAAAAACCTGTAAATAGATCAGGGTCTGAATTTTGATCTCTAGGTGTGTCCTTCAGTCAGGTCCAATGGATTACCATGCTCTGGCCCCAGAGTCTGTCTTTTGTACTCCATCAGGGGCTCCTTCCTCTGCTCCCACAGTTTCTCTGCCACACGCTTAGTGGATTGCCTCCGTGTCCCAGGGTCAGTCTGGGCCAGTCCCAACCCTGAGTCTCCAGTGTTGTCCCCCTTAGGGCCTTGGGCCATCAAGGGATGGCACGTCTCGTGGTGGGATCAGCCAGATTGTCCTCTCTGCCCATTGGCTTTTCAGAGCGGGGATGTCATCCTACAGGCCTGGTGGGTCGGGATGTGCTCCGCTATCTCTTCCTCCCCCTTAAGTGTTCCCATTTGCTCTGATCAGACATGCCCCTCTCCCCTAGCTGCAGCTTCAGTCCGTCCTCAAGTAAATTCTTCTGGGGGGAGGGGCGGTTGTTTTATTTATTTTGTAAATAAATATTTTAATTATCAGAAGCTGAGATCAGTACTAATTGTCTACTTTTAAAATAGGTGCCCTGCCTATAATCAGATGCTCAAGAGGAACAGCAGCAGAAATGGTAGCAGTGGTAAGTTATATAAATAATATTTAGGTATAAAAAGGCCTTCAGGTAGCGCTATTGGGTAAGCAGTGGCCTATTAACTGCAAGGTCAGAGGTTCAAAACACATTAGAAGAGGCTTTGCCTGCTCCTGTAAAGATTCTACAATTTACAAGGTTATATAACGTTACTAAAAGTCAGAATCACTCTATGGTAGTGGGTTTTAGGGTTTGGACATAAATAATATTGTGTGGATTCTTTTCCCGAACCAAAGCCCTCTGTATCTACCAATTCTACAAATTGGGAGGGAGTGTGGCAGGAAATAATATTAAAAGTCAAAGCAATCCCTCAAAGGCTAAGAAGAAGTGTAAAGTGTCATTTATAAAGTATTTATATTGTATTAAGTATTACAAATAATCTAGAGATGATTTAAAGAATGTAAGAGTGTTCATAGCTTATTTGCAAATACTGCCTCAGTGTATATTAGGATTTGAACATTTGCATCTTTCGGTCTCCTTAGAGATGTCCTGAAACCAACACTACATGGATACCAAGAGATGATTATCCCTCAATGTGTTCATTAATATTAAGTGTATAATAGCTGTGGCTTATGGATCAAATACCAATGGCACTGATAATTATATACGTCTGTGTGATGGAGTAAAATTACTACAATATGCTATTCTAGCACTTTCTTTCCTACTCAGACATACATTCCTCATTCAGCTTTGTCTAGCCAATAGTATTTTGTACTTATGTGATCCCTCAAATCAGTATCTAATTTCATTTAATAATTACATTAATAGTCATAGCCATTTTTGACATGGTTATGTGTATTTTGCTGTCCCCTATATTGGAATAAAATTCAGTAAAAACAGCATTCAAATGGAGATTTTTTTTCTCTTAGGGAGTAGGGAGAGTAGAGAAATGAGAGGATTACTGAAAGAAAGAGACAGTAGGACACTGAGACAGTCAGGGAGAAACATTAGCATTTGGAGTTTTATTTGTCCAAATGAGTCCTGACTGGTAGAAGGCAGCTGTCCTTCACATTTTCTAGTTTCGTTCTGGACCCTCTTATAGCTCCTACTTGTCACTCTTACCCACCCGTTCAAGTGGACATCTTGTCAAGTACAACAGACTCACACTGCAGGAACGGGAGACTGGGTTGTTTCTGCAAAGCTTATCCTGGTTCTGTGGTAAAATTAATCAATGAAAAATGCTTATTGATGAAATTAGGCCTAAGACACAGCAGAAAGGGCATTGGTCTTTTTGAAGTCCAGGTTCTCATAGTATTGAAATAGAAAAGAAATTAAAATATTTACATATTAGAATTACTGTTTTTGAAAGCAAGTTGTAATTCTCAATGAAATTAGAATTACATTATGTATTATTGCTTTGTAAACTTCTATGGAACTATTTAAGAATTAATCAAATTTTTTATTTTTAGAAACTAGATAAGAAACTACGGGAAAATCTGAGAGATGCAAGAAACAGTCTCTTTACAGGTGACACACTGGGAACTGGCCAATTCAGGTATTATGCTAACATGCCTTTATAGGCATGTAAAAATTAAAAATTCATAGAATTTTTTGGTTGTTTTTCATGTTGATTAGGAACTAAATACCCTTTTTCTCTTCATCGAAAGTATTTTCTTATTTTTAAAGGGCATCATTGAGATCAGGTTTTAAACTCAAAATTGTTTTTGAAATAGAAATAGAATGTTTTATTCAATTGAATTTCTTTTTATAGAAATTTCTGTTGTATCTGAAAGAGAATATATAACCTGGTTGCTTCTATTAAACATAAATAAACTGACAATTTGATGCATCAGTTTTGTTTTTTGAAGATATGTTTTGAAGAACATTTAATACCATTGAAGAACATTTTTATGTGAGAAATAATTTCCTTTGAGTTATCATTAAACCCCTTAGTAATGGGGGGAAAATCAATAAAAAATTTATGCTTCTTTGACTTAACTATGTTCAATTTTTTCATTAAAAATACTATTAGATATCAAGGGTACATGAGGGAGGGAGGAGCAGGGAGGGAGGGGAAAAATGAGCTGATGCCAGGGGCTTAAAGTGGAGAGCAAATGTTTTGAGAATGATGAGGGCAATGAATGTACAAATGTGCTTTACACATTGATGTATGTATGGATTGTGGTAAAGAGTTGTGTGAGCCCCTAATAAAATTATTTTTTAAAAAGAACCATGAACAGTTTCCTAAAGCTCGGTGGGTTCAAAGGTTGTTTAAATAATTCCTAGGTAGCCTAGAGAATGCAGACATGGGAATCCAAGCTGCCAATTAAGTGACTACCAATCATTTTAGTTTTCCCTACAGGGAAATCCCTTAACCCTATGTATTATATGAGAGATGATGACACCTGTGTATTATATGAGGACATGCTCATCCCTTCAGGAGGGGTCCTCCTGGTTCTGAAAAGCTTTCTTCTCCCTGCCCAATAAAAACCAGTACCTCTAATTGTTTAACTTAGCAAATTTTTTAATGTCAGAAGGAAATTTCAGCAATCTTGAAGAACAGATTAGATTGTGGAAAAGGTTTGGAAAGAAAACGGCCAAGTTTACCTAGATGGTTT